TTTATGGGCTCACCTGATTAGTTGAGTCCCAATCAAGATAATTACTCTTTTTATTAACTAAAAACCAACTACCTGAGACCTTAATTACATCTTATGTATGCCAGTAGACAGGAATTTCAGAATTCTGCCTACTACAAAGCGGGGTAGGGGGAGGAAACCACTCTTTTTCATTAAGAAAACCCCTTTGTTATGCTTTGGAAATTCATTAATCCATAATAAATTCCATTTCACAGTCACTTTTATTTATATATTAATATAACTTCGGTTAAGAATTACATTCGATTGAATGTCAGGATTTCAACATATAAATCTGAGGGGACACATTCAGTGTATAACACCTTCTTACACCTGCTTCCTAATGTGTGTTCTTTGCAGGAGTACATGAATGCACAAGGGGACACTCCAAAAACAATGTATTTACAAAAATTGTGTACTTATTCTTACATGTTTCAACTTCAGTCACCTTCAAAGTACTCTCCATTTGATGCCGTATGCCTATTGAGATGTTTTTCCACTGCTCAAAACAGCTTTTGAACTCATCAATTTTGATGCCTTTTAGTGTTTCTGCTGTTTTTTGTTTCAAATCTTCAAAACGTTTCCCTTTGAGAGCTTTTTTTTTAAATCTAGGAAAACAAAAAAAAAGTCACTCGGGCCGAGATTGGGTGAATAGGGAGAGTGGGGTATGGTGGTCACGCTGTTTTCGGTCAAAGGTTGCTGAACACTCAGTGTGGTGTGGGCAGGTGTGGTGAAATAATCTCCAAAAAAAAAAATTCACTTTAGCTGAACACAGCCTCTCACATCACTAGGTGGTGCACTGATGCCAATGAGTTCCTAGAACACTTACCTAGCAGGGGAAGCCTGTACTACAAGGGGCCTACCTTCCAAAAAGATAATTCTGGGGTTTTTTTGGCCCTTCCCCACCCCCAGTCTTCGGTAAAGAATGCTGGTGGGGGGAAAAAACATGAATTTTGGAAAGAAGAATGTCGGTTTGATTCTTGGTTCACATATTTTAGTTTGCCTTTGGCTGCGGGCAGCAGAGAACCCAAATCAAAATCACTTAAACAGTAAGGAAAATATATTACTTCAGGTGGCATGACATGAAATCTGAAGGTTGGGCATCTCTTCTCCAACGCTGGGTAATTTCATGGCCCAGTTGTTATCAGGGACCCAGCTTCATCCCAACTTTCTTCTCTGTCATCTTCAGCCAGTTAGCTAGCTCCCCTCCCCTTCAGGTCTTAAGCCAGCTACTTCAGTTCTGGGTGTCATATTTAGACAGGACAATGTCCAATACCTTCCTCATGTATCTCAAAAGGAAAGGTAACTTTTCCAAAACTGCATCAGAGGACATGTATTCTTATTTCAAACTTATATCAACAATTGGCAAGAAGAATGGAACTTCCATTATTTGTTGAGACCAGTGGTTTTCAATCTTGGCTGTGCTTTAGAATTACCTGGCAGCTATGGAAAAATCTCATGTCTATACTCCAAGCTGTGTGGGGATGGGGAAGGTGGAAACAAACAAAACTGGAGCTACTGAAAGTGGGCCCCAGGCATCTGTATCTTTTAAAAAGCTTCCCAGATAATTTCATTGAGAAGCCAAGGTTGACAACTATAACCTTAGACTCCTGTTGATACAACTTTTAGGGTTGGGTCCAGGGTTCACCATCCATAAAGCACAGATAACTCCATGGGTGGGTGGGATGGGAGAGACCTGACCAAAATTGGAATTCTCTTAGGAAAAGAAGCAAATATATGCAATGGTGCATAACTAACAATATAAGCTACAAAGACCAAGGGCAGATAATGGCTTCTTATAACCATGGTTTCTGTATCTATAAATGGTAATAACAACTATTGTTACTATAATATTCTCTATTGTTAAAACTGTAATAGATTAAAAAGCAGTTCCATATATATGATCTTAACATTCAGCAGGTGCTTAATCTGAGATATTCTGGTGTGGCATTTGTGCTTCTAATTGGCAGTGGGAGTCCCACGGTCTTTGGGCCACATCACCAGATCACCTAGTATTTTGACCTCAACAAGAACAGCACAGAAGAAATTCTTGACTGTAACCTTTTAACGGTGATGCTTATCAGAAACTAGGCAGTGAACTGAGACAACTGTGCTAAAAGTCAGGAAATTTAAGGCAGGGGATAGTCATTTAACATCAATGAGTCTGAATTCTTTTTTACAATTGAATCAAGTCAAAACATCAAAGGCTACACACTTGAACTATATCACCTAATTAACAGAAATTGAGTTGTACTGTTGCGTGGCTTTTAGCAACCAACCACAAAAAGCAGCCATATGAAACCTGTTACACAGCATTTTAGAAATGAAATTTTTGTCTGTTCTACTCAGTGACTTCCATAACGATGACTCACATAAGAATTGTTTTTATGAAATTATTATAGGTTTTGTCTCCTACTTCCTTTCTGATATTAAGAAGTAAGTAGTTGATCACTTTATCCTTTTTCCTTTGGCTTCAAAAAAGATCAGAGGTAAACTTAATACAGTCATGATAACTATGCTGGCCGAATGACAAGTAAATCTGTGTAGATTTTTCCCATACAACTTTCTTACCTATATTTCTCCTTGTCTGAATTTTTTAGCTGTGGTTTTGTTACACACATACTTGCTTGGCACTGCATCAAGGGTGAGACTTATCTCCCAAGAAGAAACCAAGGGGAGACAGGGGAGCAGAGGGAAGTAGGAACTACTGCTGAGCATGGCTAAGAGATGGTCAGACTACAGAGCACTTTGAAAACCTGGCAGACTAATGAATTTGATTCAGGGAGCTACACAGCAGAGACATGGCTGAAGCTGTGCACTGGGGAATCACTGTGAGAAAAACCAGCATGAACTGCTGGGAAGAAAGTGGAGAAAGGAGGCAGGTGATTGGAAGAAGGTTCTACAATAAGTCAGGCAAGAGAGGCCCATAGCCCAACAGCTACTTTGGGCACACAGAGCACATTTAAGGGAGTATGTCTCTTCCCCAACTTGATCTGACACAAGTTAAGTGAGTTGACAGGCACAGATATGCTTGTCTGTTCAAAATAATCCACTGTAAAACAAGAGGTTTTCAAATTTCTCTATTTGACATGCAAGACCTTCAAACCTCTGCTTGGTCTTTTTTTTTTTTTGAGTTGGAGTCTCTCTGTCGCTCAGGCAGGAGTACAGTGGCATGCTCACGGCCACCCCTGCATTGACCTGCCCGGCTCTGGTGACCCTTCCGTCTCAGCCTTCCAAGTAGCTGGAACAACAGGTGTGCGCTACCATGCCCAGCTAATTGTTGATTTATTGTAGAGATCAGGTCTCTCCAAGTTGCCAGGACTGGTCTCAAACCCGCGGGCTCAGGCAATCCACTTGCCCTGGCCTCCCAAAGTGCTGGGATTACAGGTTGAGCCACTGAGCCCAGCCTGCTTGGTCTTTTAAGCTTACAAGTGAAATGGGTACTGCCTCAGGAATATAATATTTGCTTTTAATCTTACACATAATCTATTTTTTTTTGAAAAGTAGGATTTATTGAAAGGACAGAAAAGCTCCCAGAGTAGGAAGAGACCAGACAGGGTTGCCCCATAATCTTTATATATATAATCATTTATACTTCATAACCATCAAACTATACATGAAGTAATAATAGGAAATAAAGTGTTAGACTGTAAAATAAGAATAATTATAAGTACTTATGGGGCTCATGAAAATAAAAAAAAAAAAGCATGTTCGTATTTATTCCATTCTATGCAAAAGACTGCATTATCCACCTCATAAGGTGGTTATGAGGCTTCAATAAGACAGTCAAACAATACAAAAGAGCATAGACACCAGGCACATGGTAAGTGTGCAATAAGGCTGGCTTACTGTTCACGTGGACCAATGTTAGTTTACAAATGGGTTTGCCATAAAATTTACCTTCTACAAGTGTGAGCTATATGGCAAGATCTTGAATTGATTAGATTATATATTATCTTAAGGAAGATACAAAGTATTTGTTCTATTGGTAATATAATTAGACCTTGCACAATTTCTTTAAATTTTCAAGTTTTTTTTTTTAGTTCGAGTCTGTCACCCAGGCTGGGGTGCGGTGGCACACTCACAGTCACCGCAGCCTTAACCTGCTGCCTTCAGGCGATCCTTCCACCTCAGTCTTCCAAGCAGCTGGAACCATAGGCACGTGCCACCATGCCTGGCTAATTTTTTGATTTATTGTAGAGACAAGATCTCGCCATGTTGCCCCGGCTTGTCTCGAACCCCTGGGCTCAGTCAATCCTCTTGCCTTAGTCTCCCAAAATGCTGGGATTACAGGCGTGAGCCACTGTGCCTAGCCTATCAAAGGTTTTTATAATGGACCCTTTTAAAACTGCCAACTCAGCCTCTCTCCTCTAGCAGATTCTAACGCACTGCCTTGCTCTCTTCCCCAGTCACAGCCAGGGGATGGACCGATCAACCCAACAGACAGCAGTAGGGCATTGTGAGATGACTCACTCTCAGCTCTTATAGTCTCCTGCTTCTAAGGGTCCAGGATCTAACGTTATTTCCTCTTTTCTTATTCTTATGTCTTGGCTAATAAATCTTGGCTTGGAGTATGTGTAACGCTACTTCTTGCTTGAGTGGGATTAGTTACAACCAACATAACTCTGACTTATATTTTCAGACAGGACTTTATTAAGAAATGTCACTAGCTTTTGTATACTTTATATGTCCAGCAATTTGGTGATGCGATTATTTTTCAGCAATATAACAATATAATGATGACTAGTCTCAGTTCCATGGTATTTATCTAATAATAATCAATACTACTATATAAAAGTGCATACTTAGAATTTCATTATTATTTGTGCTGGAAAATTTTGTATTTGAATATTGTGCTAAAGACGCCATAATATTTCTACAGTTTATACCAAGTGTATAATCTGGCTATAGTTTATAAATCAATGAGAAAGATAAATATTCTTACGTCTTAACAACAGAAAAGTTAAGAACTCCCAGTTTAGGAATGGTATAACAAGAGATTTCATTCTACTTTATTTATAATGTAAGAAACTGGAAATAAATGTCCAATAGAAAACGGGTTTTAAAAAAAATCACAGAACCGTAATTTATTTTGAGTCTTAAAATTGTGAACAACCATTAAAAATATGATGTGGCATTATGTAATGAAATGAAGAGACCTAATTCTATTTTATGGTCCATCTATTTACACCAGTGTCCGTTCCTCAAGTCTCTTATACCTCTTCACCCATTCGCACTCAGCCTACCCTTGCTTCCTATTTTATGGAGAAGATCAATCAGAAGATATTTCTGCACTTTACTACCACAACATATACCCACTAGCCAGCATCTCTGCCACATATGCCCCCCTCCTTTTCCAATGGTGGAACATTTCAGTGAAGACCAAGCCCTTCAATTGTGCACTACATCCCTGCCCACTGCCCCATCCATAAGGAAGCTGCACCTCATCCCAATGACACAAGAGGGCGCTTTGAATGAGGAATCTTATAAGCTACTTCAAATCACCAGTCTTGAACAGTCTTGAATAGGTGTAAGTATAAGCACTCTTCATCTGTATAATGCTACAGAAGGAAACAGAACAAAAACACATCAGCTCATGAAAATTACCAACGTAGCTGCCCTTACTCTCTGTCCTGAAGCAGAAGAAGAAGAAGAAGAAAAAAAACACACACACACAGCAGAAGAAAACTGTAACACAAAAATCCAAACTGAATCAAATACCCCTCTTTGAGAAAAATTAAAGGACACTATGAACTGAAGTTCAAAAACTAAGATTAGAACTGAATAAAAAATGGAAGTAATAAAACAAGAGTTGACTGATCTCAGAAATGATACAAGAAAAAAATCATATTAAAGATGAAGACTATATTAAAAGATTTGAATGAAAACGTAAGAAGTCATTAGACAGCAGAAAGAGAACAAAAAATGTGAAGCAGAAAAAAGTAATAAAGAACAAAGAAAACACATTATAGAGAGAAAAACATATGTAGAAAGAAAACATGTAGAGAAAAGTGTAACAGTAACTAAAATTACAGAATAAATGAAATGTTCAGTCATTTCAATAAATGTGAATAGGTTTAATTCACTTATCAAAATAAAAAGATTTCTGGTTTTGCTTACAGAACAAAACCCAATGATATATGTTCCATACAAGAAACAAACCTAAAAATTATCAGAAGAGCTAAAAATATATTGATGGGCAAATTAACAATAAAAGCAAATGGAAACAAATATTCAAGCTGCAGTGTAGAATCTGGAACTGCAACAATAAACTTTGTACATTAAATCCACTGGTTTTCGTAGGTTGGATAGATAGTTTACTTATGTGTAATTTTGTAACATCATGCATTGTTTACTTGGAAAAATTAGTTTACTAATTTATGCAGATCTTCCAAATGTTTAATTATACTGTACAATGTTTTAAAAAGCACATTCTTTAATATCACCAACCAATCTTATCAAAAAGTCTTTAGGTCCAGGAAAGCTTTCAAGCTCATAGACAGATCAAATGTTCTCAAATTTTAATTTTTGCTTAAAAGCTTGAATTTTATCACTGACAATAAATATTTTCAGTTGTCCTCTTTTAAGTGATAGGGCTATTCTGTTTCTGCCAAACATTTACATCTAAAAAAAAAAAGTTTGTCCATTAGCTTTTTTGTTTTTATTTTTTAGAGACAGAGTCTTGCTATATTGCCCAGGTTGGACTCAAACTCGAACTTCTGGGCTCATGTGATCCTCCTGACTCAGCCTCCCAAGTAGCTGGGACTACAGGCTTGCATCACCATGTCCAGCTCTCGGTTGTCCTTTCAAGTAAAAATAGTATTGATGCTAAACACTTAATTTAGCTTGTAACTCAGAAAACAGGTGCTTAAGAACGCAGTATGTGTAAACATTTTATGTATCTTCCCATTTTGCTAGACAGGCTATCAAAAAGACTGTATGCATTAAGGCTTAACATTAATAATTGTTACTGCCTCATCAAGGACATTCTTAAATGAAACAGGCTCCAGATGCAGGTGTTTTTAGAGGGAAACTCTGGTCAAGGTTTAGAAACCAGGTAGTCTCTTTGGAACATAAACTCTACTAGTAGAAATGCTTCTGCTGTTTCCCCATGAAGTATAATGCCGATTTTCTTACTAAGGGATAACATATTCTTATCATCTTAAGAAAGTATCCATCCAATGCTCTTCTGTGTAGAACACACAAAAATCAGTTGCATTCCTAGACACAATGAACAATATAGAAAGGAAATTTAAAAAACAATTCCATTTACAATGTCATTAAAAAGAATAAAATACAGTTGACCCCTGAACAATACAATTTTGAACTGCATGGGTCCACTTATACACAGATGTTTTCCAATAAATATATTGCAAAATTCTTTGGAGATTCATAACAATCTGGAACAACTTGCGGAGAAACTGCATAGCCTAGAAATAGTGAAAAAGTTAAGCATGTCATGAATGCATAAAATATATGTAGATACTATTCTATTATGTGTTAATCAACTATGTTATTGGTAAAGTTTCCTTTCAGCAGTCAGCTATTAGTAGCTAAGTTTCTGAGGAGTCAAAAGTTACATGCAGATTTTTGACTGCATGAAGGATGGTACTCAACCTCACCTCATTCAAGGGTCAACTATACTTAGGAATTAGTTTAACCAAGAAGGTGAGACCTGTACAATAAAAACTACAGAACATTGCTGAAAGAAATCAAAGACAAACCGAAAGACATCCCACGTTCATGGGTTTAAAAGACACTATTGCTAGGATGTCATTACCCAAAGTAATAAATCTATTCAATACAATCTGTATCAAAATTGAAGTGACATTTTTACAGAAATAGAAAAATCTATCCTAAAATTCATATGGAATCACAGGGGATCCTAAATAGCCAAAATAATCTTGAAAAAGAACAAAGTTGGGAGACTTATACTTCTTGGTTTCAAAAGTTACTACAAAGCTACAGCATATAGATCATATAGACCAATTGAATAGAGGGGCTAGAAATAAACTTTCATATATATAGTTAAATAATTTTGGACAAGGGTGCCAAGTCCATTCAATGGGGAAGTCTTTCAACAAATAGTGCTGGAAAAACTGGATATACTCATGCAAAAGAATTAAGTTGGACCCTTGCCTTAGACAATATACACAAATTAACACAAAATGGATCAAATACCTAAACATAGGAGCTAAAGCTATAAAAGCTCCTAGAAGAAAACATAAGGAAAAGTCATTACAACACTGGATTTGGCAATAATTTCTTGAAAATGACACCAAAGGTACAGACAACAACAACAAAAAACATAAAAACTGGACTTCAAGAAAATTTAAAACTTTGGTACATCAAAGAACACTATCAATGGAGTGAAGAGTCAGCCTACAGCATAGTAGAAAATACTTGTAAATCTTATATCTCATAAGTGATTAATATCCAGAATATATAGAGAATTCCTAAAACTCAACAACAAAAAACAACCTGATTCAAAAAGAATAAAGGACTTGAATAGACATTTCTCAAAATAATATATGAATGGCCAATAAACACACAAAAAGATGCTCAATATCACTAAATACAAATAAAAACCACAATGAGACACTACATCAGACCCTCTAAAATGACTGTTATAAAATTAAAAAAACAAAAGACAATAACAAGTGTTAGCAAGGATGTGGAGAAATTGGAGCTCTGCACACTATTGATGGGAATGTAAAATGGTACAGTCACTGTGGAATACAGTATAGTGGTTCCTCAAAAAATTAAAAATAGAATTACTGTATGATCCAGCAATTCCATTTCAGGCTATATACCCAAAGGAACTGAAAGCGTGGTTTCAGAGTTATTTGTACATCCATGTTTATAGCAGCGTTATTCACGATAACTAAAATACGGAAGCAACCAAGTATCTGTTGACAGAGGAAAGGATAAGCAAAATGTTGTATATACACACACACAATGGAATATTATTCAGTCTTAAAAAGGAAAGAAATTCCAACATGCTATAATATGAGTGAATCTTAAGAACATTATGTTAAGTGAATTAAGTCAATCAAAAAGGGCAAATATTGTATGATTCTCCTTATATGAGGTAGTTAGAACAGTCAAAATCATAGAGACAGAGAGTTAGAATGGTGACTGCAAGGGTCTTGAGGACAACAGGGACTGGTGAGTTATTTTTCAATGAGTATAGAATTTCTGTTTTGATATTTTAAAAAAGAGTTCTAGAGATAGATTGTGGTAATGGTTGCACAATATGAATGTAATTAACACTACTGAACTGTACACATAAAAATGGTTAAGATGGTAAATATTGGCCGGGCTTGGTGGCTTCAGCCTGTAATCCCAGTACTTTGGGAGGCCAAGGTGAGTGGACTGCCTGAGCCCGCGGATTCGAGACCCGCCTGGGCAACTTGGCAAGACCTCATCTCTACAATAAATCAAAAATTAGCTGGGCGTGGTAGCACACACCTGTAGTTCCAGCTACTTGGAAGGCTGAGGCGGAAGGATCACCAGAGCCTAGCAGATTGAGCGGCCACTGTACTCCGGTCTGGGTGACAGAGTAAGACTCCAACTCAAAAAACAAAAAACAAAAAAAACGTAAATATCGTTATATGTATTTTAACACAATTTTTGAAACTTTTAAAAAGTAACCACCCATTTCTATTTTCTATAGTTTTTTAAAAATAAAGAATAAGTATTGAATTTAGTAGGAAGTTTTTTTTAGCATCTACATGTAATGATAAGAAAAACTCCTGTTTTTCCATGATAATCCTTGTATAATCCCTTGACTTTTTAAACTACTTGCATATATTACCTTTATAAAAATATTGAGAAATTTATGGGTTTAGATAAATGTATTAGGAAACAAGAAATGCTAACAATCAATTTTTGGGCAAAATAAGGCTAAAGAATATAAAAGGAATATTGTAATACAGAAACTGATGAAATAGAAAATAAATATAAAATAGAACTAACAAAAGCAAAGTTGGCTCTTTATATAGGATAATAAAACTATTAAATCTCCAGACAAATTAAGAAAAACAGAAGACATAAGTCATCGATATAAAATAAAAAGGTAGACATAACTACAGATTCTATACACATTAAGAAGAAAAGATAGTATCATGAATATTATGCCAAAGTATTTGAAAGCTCTGCATTTATATTAGAAAATTTAGGTTGGGTGTAGTGGCTCACACCTGTAATCCCAGCACTTTGGGAGGCTGAGGCAAAAGGATTGCTTAAGTCCAGAAGTTCAAGACAAGCCTGGGCAACACAGCGATATTGCGTCTTTACCAAAAAAAAAAAAAAATTGCCAGGTGTGGTAGTGTACAACTATAGTCCCAGTTACTCAGGAAGCTGAAATAGAAGGCTCACCTGAGCCCAGGAGGTCAAGGCTGTGGTGAGCCGTGATTGTGCCATGGCACTCCAGCCTGGATGGTAGAGTAAGATCCCAACTCCAATATATATATATATACACACACACATATACATGTTATATATATATTACTGCATATATAATATATTATTATATATCAGAAAATTCAGTTTATCTCAG